GCTCCCGACCCCCCACCGCGTCCCCGAGCCTGGGCTGTTGGCTCCACGCGCCAAGCACCATCTGCTGTCGCCTCACCAAACCCCAGCCTCACACCCCAGAGCGGTGGGACCAGCTAAAATCTGGGTCCCAGGCTGGGAAACCTGGGGAGGGGGTGTTTTCTGGAGATGTTCAGAGATGTTACGCCCCATCGCAGCTTCACAGACACCGTGTGGAAACGGAGGGTGTGATGAAGGGGAGAAAGTGCTTAAGTTGATAAAGGAGCCCAAGTCCTGCCCCACGAAAGGATTTCTGCCTCTGTTGTGCTTCTCAAAACACTACCTGTCTCATTTACTCAAACACAACATTTATGACTTTAAAAAAAACCCAAACTAAATTCCCTGTGGAGTTCATAACTCCCAGCTGCAGCAAGGCTCATCTTCTGCGTATGTCACACTGGTCAAACCAGAGAATCACAGAAAAGAAATAAAGAGCTGAGATGAAAATGAGTTAAACCTGGGAAGCTGCCAAAGTGACGGCTCAATGATCCACCGTGCTCCTACAGCTTCCGGGAGCGGGTGAAAAGCTGCGAGTTCTGCACTGCTGGGCACGCCTGTTTGGGTGGGCGCCACGGAAAGGCACCGACAGGGGCTTGGGCAGGGCGGGCACGCGTCCTGTGCCGCCACCACGCACCCGGGAGGGTCTGTCCTGGGCCTCCCAGCAGCAACCATCGCTTTGGAAATGGCTGTCCCCCACGGGAGCAGGAGCAGAGCCCGGCCCAGCCGACCCGCAGAGCTCAGCTGGCCACAGCTGGGCCACGTCAGACTGCACCGAGCGGTTCCTGCCTTCGTGCTTTCATTGCAAGCCACGATCGCAAACATTTCCCATCCTCCCTCTACCTCCTGACCTCCAGCTCTGGTCACCCACTTCACCAAATGCGGAATAAACTCCCCGGCAAGGCCAGGCGTGGGTCAGCTTTGACGTTTATTGCTTGCTCGGTGACACGGCACGGCTGAGCACGCATCCCGGCGGGATGGGCAACGCGGAGCAGAACGTTGCGGGCTTTGCCCCAAAATCTTGATCTTTTACCTGCTGCTTTCTTTGGTTGCATTTGTTGTTCATTCTCCCCACAGTCCTGGAGTTCCAGCTTTGGATTCTGTGAGAGTAAAATGTTGCATGATGAGAGAAAACAATCTTTTTAACAACAAAATGTGAAATCATCATTAGGACCTCTGCAGGTCTGATTTTCATCTCTGCTGACTGCAACTGGGCGACTTCTGCTGATGCAAATGAAACCAGAATCCAGCAGGGTATCTCCATAGGAGATCTTGAGAGCTCATTGCTTTGGGATATGATTTATTTTCCTCTTTTATGGACTAAATTAGCAAGCCCTTTTCCATGCAAATAATTTGACTGCCCGTACAGAATGCACAGGAATTGTCTGTGCCCCCTCATGAGCCATTGACTTTCGTCTGACTGCCTAGAATATGGTATTTCCATTTGGGTAGCGTTGAGCTGAACACACAGGCTTAATACTTGTCATAGCATCCCCAGCAGAACTTGACACCTATCCCCAATCTATTCTTCTGCCTTTTGGCATTTGCAATCAATATTGGTCTTCTTTGTCAGCCTGCCACCATGAAGTTCATTCATTACAAATCCACCCTGTAAAAAAACATTATGCAACAAGATTTGCTGTAAGTCTTGCTAACAGCAATCCGGTAAAACAGCAAACTCAGTTTGCTGTAATGTAGATGGGAGGGACGTTTCCCCTTCTAATTTAACAAACTCGAAAAAGTGAGCAGACCGTTACCCTTCAGTCATCTTTTCTTCCTAGTTCTTATGTAGCAGCATAGAGGTGCCCAAACTTCTGTCCTGGTTATGCCTCACACCCTCTCATAGGGGCATGCAAGGAGCATACAGCACTGCAAATTTTTGACTTTAGGGCTACGAGGATGGTGAGGGGACTGGAGCATCTCCCCTACGAGGAGAGGTTGAGGGAACTGGGCTTGTTCAGCCTGAGGAAGAGAAGGCTGCGAGGGGACCTTATAAATGCCTACAAATATCTGAAGGGTGGGTGTCAGGAGGATGGGGCCAAGCTCTTTTCAGTGGTGCCCAGTGACAGGACAAGGGGCAATGGGCACAAACTGAGGCACAGGAAGTTCCGTCTGAACATGAGGAAGAACTTCTTCCCTCTGAGGGTGACGGAGCCCTGGCCCAGGCTGCCCAGGGAGGCTGTGGAGTCTCCTTCTCTGGAGATATTCCAGCCCCGCCTGGACAAGGTCCTGTGCAGCCTGCTCTGGGTGACCCTGCTTGGGCAGGGGGTTGGACTAGATGACCCACAGAGGGCCCTGCCAACCCCTACTATTCTGTGTGATTCTGTGTGATTCTGTGGCTCCCCGCAGGGGGTCTTCACCCCTGCCTCCCGTCAGCGCCCAGGACAAGCCAGCGGGCAGGCGGCACTCACCTTTGCAGTAGATCTCTCCATCTTTGTCTGCCAGGGTGGTGGACTCCAGGCTTTTGCCACACTTGGCACAGCGGAAGCAGGACTTGTGCCAGGACTGCGGGACAGGAGCAGAGCCCGGTCAGACAGCACCCGGGGACAGGGCAGCGAGGCTTTGGCTACCTGGTGGGCTCAGCTTCCTGCTTCCGACCCAAAGCACCGGGCAAAGGGGTCTGAACGGGATGAGAGCTTTTCTCTGGGAAGAGTGGTCCTCCCAGCCCCAGGGGGAAGGTGCAGAGAGGACGCATCAGGTGTGCCCACCGCTCCCATGTTGATCTGGTTTCGGAAAGCTCTCGCCCCCACCCACTGCAGTGATTTGTACCATAATTTGTACACTAGTTTGCAAGGAGCCACCATCCGCCTCTTTGGAGGCTGTCCTCTCTCCAGCAGCGTGATCATCCCCGTGACACATCCAGCTGAGCTCCTCTGCCGCTGCGTGACAGCCTGGAGGGTGGCAGCCGGGCCGGGACACCG